CCCTGCCGCGGGTAACATATGCGGCCCCGTGAAAATTTTTGACGAGTAAATTATTATTTCGGGAACCACAAAGTCTACGAAGCTGAAATTTTAGGGTAATTACCCCCTGCCCAAACTCAACCTTGCCTATCCAAATTCGGCCTTTCCGCACTTTCGGGCATTATTTACGGCTTCGTGAAAATTTTGGCAATTGAACTATTAAGTCGGGAATCACGGAAAGATATTCACTCTTAAAGGTTTCAAATTCAGCGTTCGTGCACCGGTGCGTGAAATGTTTAACTATTTTTCAAAGTTTGAACTATTTTTGCATAGGCTAAAGTACAAAGCAGTGAAAATCATTAATAGGCTATCGTTCGATGGGCTGGATTGCACAAAACGCATAATCGCACCTGCTAGTTTGGTGCGCGTTGCTATTTATTGTTAATTATTTTCCAGTAAAAGATACCACGGACAGATGTGAGCTTTTTTGTAACTGTATCCTGTCAGAGCATTTTTTTTGCCAATATTGGAATTTAGATTACACTCGATGGAGTACCAATCCAGGAACTGAATATTGAGTGGCTACGTAACAATATCGGGCTGGTATCCCAGGAACCAGTGCTGTTTGCAACAACAATTGAAGAAAATCTCAAACTTGGCAAAGAAAATCTCACTCAGGATGCCATGGTCGATGCTTGCGTGATGGCTAATGCGCACGATTTCATCCTTAAATTACCAAAGGCCTGTTCTGCTGGCTTTTTGCTTTCTCACTGTGAACTATACATGGCTGTTTATAGACATTCCAAACCCAGTGAGTTTATGACGCTAGTGGAGGAAATGCTTGCAGCATGTTTAGGAATTAATCAAGCCAAATTTCAGATCAACATCCAATTTTGCAACTAAATTAATCCTATCGTTTTTTTTTCCCCAACATCATCACTAATATTTTTCCACATAACTGTCTGGATAACCTTACGTTTAGTTTTGGTAAATTATTTTACAAAACTCAGGATCAAGAAAAGGGCCCTCTGAGGCGGTGTAGTAGCTTTTTCATTCACGACCCATCTGAGATTTACTAGTTATCATACAAGTCTGGCTACAGTCACATGCTGTCCAGAACTGCGTATATTTTTAAAGTGCTTTTCATCGCCGGCTTTTCTTCCAGTAACCAGAAAATCCTGAATCTATTGAACTGTTTTAGCATGGCTGTTCATGAAAAATATTGATTTTAGGGCTATAAAACACTAATCGGTCCCGGTGGTGTACAACTGTCGGGCGGCCAAAAGCAGCGCATAGCAATAGCACGCGCACTGGTTCGGGATCCGAAAATTTTGTTGCTTGATGAAGCGACAAGCGCGCTTGATTCGGAGAGTGAAGTAGTAGTGCAAAAAGCGCTCGACCAGGCAAGTTTTCTCCTTTTTTAGTGATTTTATCAGAATTTGATAACTAGTTATTTTGTCCGCTTAGTTACTGCGGTCCATTTTTCGAGCTGGTAAAATTTTTCTGGAAAAAGTAAGATCGTAAAACATAGCAGCAGTATGAAAGTTTTGCTTAAACTAATTTGAAATTGTGAAAACGTATCTTGTCGTCATATTTAAAAGTCTACGTTCAATCATGTTTTGATTTATCCGCAGTGGATTGTTAATAATTTACAACATCGACCTTTTCAACATTCTCACAATTATGTGCAGAAAAAAGTAGTAGTGGAAGAACAAACGCTGATTATGAGAAGGAAATAATGGGTCTACTTACAAATTAATGCATCGCAATGTCTTGTTTATCGTCTCCATTCGCCCTCCTCTTTTTTTTTAACTCCTTCATTCTCACCTTTCTTCCCTTGTTCTCCTAGTTAATTCACTTCTCGTTAAAAATGGAATAACGTGCCAATTATCACTGTGGCTATAAAATAGCAGAATACACTGGATAAAATCTCTCTTATGCTTTTTTGATAACCGTGAATGTTTCTCTTAAGCGGATGGTGTAGGAGGAAGAGACCTTTCTTTCTTTTGGTCTGTAGAGAAGATGACTCAGTGGAAGAAATGAAATCCTAAATAAAACGTCCTGGCATTACAATCAACAACTGATAGCTTGTAAGTGCACTTCAGTAACAGAGTAATCTTATAAAAAAAGCGAAAATTACGGCTAAGAAAGTAAGGAAACAGTAGAAGGGCTGTAGAATCCTTTTCTCGCTCGTCTGTGCTCACTTTTTTCAAAAGGCGAAGGTACTTGCAGGTGGCCTAGATGTTAGCAAGTGCTAACAGGAGCTATCTCCCGGCAAGACCATCGATGACTCACTCTTCCGTGGGGATTGTTTTGAAGCAAGCCGACGGTGATTTTGCCTTTGTGGCTTATGAAAGTACCAGTTTGCCATCAAAAGGAATGAATGATATAAGGAACTAGAAATCTAGGTAGCGACACGTTAGCCTTGCTGGCGCGACTACGCGTTTTTGCGTGATTCCGCCACACAAACCCAGGCTACACAGGGCGGGCCCGTGCGATCATGTGTTTTTTCACCGGACTTGAATTACTCAGGTCATTAACTGTATGAATGGGTGTTGCTTTACAACTACCTTTAGCGGTCACTAGCATAAATCACAATAAATTTTGCAACGTAAACGTACAATTTCCATTTAACAGTCGTTCTTTAGAAGTAACCTAGTTGTTCAGTGAGAAATTTCTTCGTCAAGACTTTTAAGTGCCCATACGTAGGAACCACGCTTACCTCAAGGCTGAATTTGAAATACTTAAGTTGTACTTGGAGAGGAAACTTCGCCTTAAAACTTCAACTTTCTAGCTTTTCTGGTTCCCGAATTAAAATTTTCCTGCAGAAACTTTCTTACGCCTTTACGTGAGTACCATGCATAGCTTGGCGCTGAATTTGAAATATTTGTGTTGTACTTGGACAGGGAACATTCCATCAAAATTTCAGCTTTCCAG